TTAGTTTCATACACAAATATAAAAAAAAACATTTAAAAATCGATCCAAACTGAGCCATTTGGAGTTGATACTTGATCTCTAGAAATGCAATTGATCGATTTAAAAAGTAAAGCTTTGTGGAGTTTTCAATTTACAGAGTTGAAAAGCAAGTTGAAGGAATTGGAGGTCCAGAAATGTATGTACGTAACGTAACATAAATGAACAGCTTTAAGAGGCGTATTACAAAACGCGAAATTACAAGGTTTCCTCGTTGAAATTGTATGTTTATCGTTCGTTGCTTGAAATAACAATTACTTGGTAAAAATAGTTCGTTTTCTCTTCTCAAATAAGCTCAGAGCGAATTTTAGTTAACTTATTTATTTATTCAGTAATAATTATTCTCCCGATGCATGTTAAGGCAAAAACTCTTGAAGACATGATTTGGGAGCTCTAATTTGTAGATTCTATTGAATATCAACCAACAAAAAAAATATTTTTATTTTCCAAATATCCTACACTTTAATAATAATTGAATACATTTTCGTTATATGCCTTTCACGCTAGAAAAAAAAATCGACATAATTCAAAAAACGAACGAAAAAGCTTCGATACAAGCCTCTATATTTCCGAAGTTCTACATCATATAGACGTAAAATTTATACCAAAATAATCATCAATATTTGCTTCAACTATACTATTATTTTTACTTTTTAAATCGTTACTATTATATTTTAATTAATTAAATAAAAGTGCTATATATTTCACTGCGCCGCTCATCTGCGGCCACTATCGCGCGAGCGCTTGTCGAGGTTGGACCTGCGTCATTTGATTTCGCGCGCCGCGTCGTTTCTATACTACCGTAGTGTGCTTCGATTGCTATCGTAGTGTGCGTCGATTGCCTGCGTGCTAAAGCATCGTCAACTACGACCGCAGTTTTTGATCGATCAGTTTAAAACTATTTTATATAGTATAATTTAGATCACGTCTCTTTCATTAAACATGGTAGGGACAATGAGTCTGTAGCATTGGCACAATTGAGCAAATAAGAAAATATTATTATAGAAAAATGTGGTCTATTCATTGACCTAGATCATTGTTATTTGAGGGCTTCTCACCTAATGGTTTATACAGTGACGGTATTATTGAAGTTAAATGTCCTATTTCAGCTTTCGGAATAGATTTAGAAACGGTCTTTCGACCAAAAAAAAGTTAAAGGTTATAAATTTAGTGATTCAAGTGTAACATTAAAAAAATAAAATTTACCAAATCCAAGGCCAGCTTCATTTAGCAAATAAAAATGTCTGAATACTTGCTATAATATGTACTGGCCCAGATTATGCAGTAAAAGTACTAAAAATTTACAAAGACGACCAATTTTAGATTTTCAATATGCTACCCAAGTTACAAGCTTTTTATGAAAAGTGTGTACTGCCTGAAATTATCGACTCGAGAAAAGTTCGGTCGCAGCAAATATTTTTCTAATAAAAAAAGATGGTAATTGACTGTAAGTATCGATTAAAAAAATATTAGTTACATTTGGTTGTTTAATTTATTAAAACAGGTTGCAACCGTACTATTTATTTATTTATACCACTATTCTACCGGTAGTAGACATAATCGATTATTAACATTATATTACGGCGTAACAATTAAAATATTTATGTGTACTTATTTTGACACTAATTTTCATAAATAATGAAAAATATATCAAAATGGTACATAATAATAAATAATAAATTATATAATTATGTAATAATAAATCAATAAGAAAACATTAAAATGACACACCAAAAAATTTTCCATCCACTGAAGTCAATCCTAAGAAAACTTGTAAGAAACGTTGAAGAAAGTTCAAGATCGTTTAATCGCCATACTCGCAGTATTATCGTGCGAGCGAGTGAATAGATATGAAAGAAAGTGTCGGTCGCGTAGCTCGCCGCCCGTTCGGTTCGTCTAATACCTAAATTTGCGAAACGCCGAAATGTAAGAAGGCTCTTAAAAGAAATCTGTTGTGCCCATCGGAGGCTGATCTGTTGCTGTTGTGGTACTTCAGGGTATGGAACTTTTTATTCCATCCTCTGTGGTGCCCATCGGAGGCAGATCCCAGCCATGGTTTGGTCGCTCCTGTAAAATAGCATTACGCTATAAGCAGGAGTGCTACCGGGCCTGGGCGGACGCATCAACGTCTCGGGATGTAAACATCATCGCTCTTAAAAATAAGTATAATTCCGCCTCCAGGTTCTTCAAAAAAGTCATTGCCAAGGCAAGGTCTAAGCACATCGGCAGAATTGGCGAGAAGCTAGTTCGCCTTCCTTCGGGAACCCGTGCATTCTGGTGTCTTGCCAAGGCTGTCCAAGGGAACTTCTGTCAGCCATCTCTTCCATCTCCGCACAGAGAGGATCTCTCACTGGCCCATGCCGCAAAGAAGAAAGCCGATCTGTTAAGCTCTCTCTTTGCGCCCAATACGACTTTAGATGACGGGGGTAATACACCGCCGACCATCCCGCGGTGTGAGTGATCCATGCCAGATGTGCGGTTTACACAGCGCTCGGTTCGCAAAGCACTCTTCTCTCTGGACGTCAGCAAGTCGAGTGGGCCTGATGGAGTCCCTCCGATTATTCTGGAGACGTATGTTACGGAGTTGGCACCGGTTTTAACGCGTCTTTTCCGGTACTTCTACTCCCAAGGTGTAGTCCCGAATTCATGAAAGACAGCTTAGGTCCACCCGATCCCTAAAAAAGGCGACTCTCAGATCCGTGCAACTACAGGCCTATCGCCATCACTTCCTTATTCTCCAAAATAATGGAATCCATTATATACTGCCAGCTCATGAGTTACATTGAGGATCACCAGCTGATTAGTGACCGCCAGTACGGTTTTCGTCTGGGTCGATCACCTGGTGATCTTTTGGTCTACTTGACTCATAGATGGGCGGAGGCAGTAGAGTCCAAGGGGGAGGCATTGGCCGTTAGTTTGGACATAGCGAAGGCCTTCGATCGGGTCTGGCACAAAGAGTTTCTTTCGAAGCTTTCTTCCTAGGGCTTCCCGAGAAATTGTGCAAATGGATCACCAGTTTTCTTACTGATCGGAGCATCAAGGTCGTAGAAGACGATGCATGCTCTGGTTACAAGCCTACTAACGCTGGTGTTCCACAAGGCTGCGTGCTGTCACCAACGCTGTTTCTCCTGCATATCAATGATATGTTGCAAACCAGTAACATTCATTCAGTGGTGATGCCTTATATACTGACCGTGCCAATATTTCTCGGGAAAACGTCGCCTAGTACCAAAAAAAAAAAGAAATGCCGCAAGTTGAGGCACTAGATTCTAATTTATTGTGAAAAACACTATTTTATATATGAATAAATATATATTTTTCTTATGAATAAATCGATGATAAGTTTTATTATGCAAGTACTATTTATGGTTGGCAAGAAAAAAAATTGTGACTCTTTAAAAACTTTGAAATTTTGTAAATTGTAAGTTTTGACACTTTCGACTCAAAATGTTGCCGGTCGCCTGGGGCGTCCCTTCCCGACTCTGCCGTTCACCTCTGTAACATAAATTTGCTTTGTCACTCTTTTCTCATTCATTCTTTCTACATGACCAAACCACCGAAGCATTCCTTTCTTAATCCTGGTCACAAAATCATCTTGCAAACCACACTACAGCATGACCGCATTTCTACAGCATTTATTCTACTCTCATGATTCTTCTGCCACACCCAACTTTCACTACCATATATTAAAGTAGGGACTAACATAGCATTGTGAATTGCCATACGTGGATTTTTGGACACATTCTGACTTCTCACAATAGGGTGCAGAGCCCCATTCACTCTATTTCCTGCATTCACTCGTCGTTCTATATCCTTATCATGTCTACCATCCCTGCTAAATACATATCCCAAATACACAAACTCATCTACTTGCTCGACCAACTCCCCTTCTATTCTTATTTCACATATCGTTTTACTTTCTTCTCTTTCAAAAACCATAACTTTCGTCTTACTTGCGTTCACTTTCATTCCCTTTTCTTTTAATGTCCTATTCATTAATGTAACCATCATTTACAACACAGCCGCCAACGACGCAAGTATGACTTGATCATCGGCGTACAATAGGCATTTGACGGTTAACTCACCCATTCTTAACCCGCATTCTTCTACTTTCAAATTTTCCAAACAACTGTCCATAACAAACTTTATTTTACTTAAATTTTAATGAAAATTTAAGTAAAACACAATGACATTTTATAATTACTGTATTAACTGAATAAAATCACATTTTTGGCAACAATTACGGTTAAATAAGGAAACTGTTTATTATTACGATTATTTATGTTCCAAATTGAAACATTCTAGACACAAATTAGGTTGATTAGGGCATTGTGGGCAGTAAGTAATGACTTGATTTGTCTTCCTTCTTGCATATATTCTGTCAATATTGTCTAAATTTATTTTATAGCATCTTTAACAGTACTTTCGTGCTTTTCTCCCCATCCCTTCTTTCCTGGCCAATTTATGCTTTTGTCTTTTATTTCTTGAGAATGACACTTCCAATTCGCAGTTTTCTTTACCTGATTCTGTTAGGTATATGCAAAATATCTTCCTGTCATCTACTATTCCTGTTTTAGACTTCGTGGTTTTTTTATATATTATATAGGAATAAAGCAAAGCTGTATTCAATAGCATTTCCATAGTTAGTTTACAGTTTTTCGTAGCGGTGTCGAGTAGACACTCATTTGTTCTGAAAGATCTACAGCTGCTTTAGTATTATTGTAATTAACTACTATTTTTGGTATTATAACCTCTTTGCCTCTTTTGAATGTCCTCAAAAATGCTACAGAGTGTTTTGTTGAGAGCAAATAAACATCTCTTATATCTTTCCACTTCATGCATGTCATACCATCTTCATTTTCTTTTACTCTAAATTCTCCCTTCTTTAGGTTTCCTATTATAACGTCCTTAGGGAAATGTTTTGTCCTCGAAATGGCACCAAAGATTCATCAATACAGAGATTTTCATGATAGATAATAATGAGCATTAAAGTTGAGATTCAAGCTATCAATCAAACTACGACTTGTGTACAAACGGTCACCAGGTGGTTTTTTAAACTGCACCATCTGTAGCAAAATCTCAAATCTGTTACGAGCCACAAATTTACGCGCAAAAGATTGGGTAATCATAGGATCAGTTGACCAATAATCAACTAGTTTTGGTAATTTAACGATTCCCATCCATAAAATGAGGCCAAAAAATATTTTCATGGATGACATGTTAAATTTTCATACAGGATTCTACAACTGCCACGTTGTTAGTTTTCAGTATAACATATAATGATTATTGATAAGTCATCGCGCGCGTTATTAAATCATTACGTGAATAAATTGTGGAAAAAATTGCTTGAACACAACGAACACTACATTTGAACAATAAATGTAAACATTATCTATTTCCTCCTTGAACTGAGAAGAGGTAATCCAGGCACCGAGCTTTTAGTCGCCTGTACAGAACTTTGAACCTGCAATGTTGCAGTATGTGCCGACTTTGGCCCTCCGGGAATGTTCTCAAGCTCGCGCAAACATTCCACTTGGTGATGGGTCCCATCCGAGCCTATGATGTATATGTATCCATCGCGTGTCTAACACTTAGCGCTTCCAAACCGCTTCCGAGCTTAAAGCTTAAGCTTGAACAAGGAAGGATTTGCCAAAGAAAAGGTCCATGTCCAGCTATGCTAAAAAAAGGACCAGTAAGACATAAGGGAAGTCTATCTAATATAGAATAAGGGTGACAAGTGAGCATACATTCCATTTGATGGTATGTGGATGCTCTTGCTAGCCTATACCTAATATATCTATATCTATATCTAATAGGAAAATCTATCCTTAATTAAGAATCGAAATGCAGATGGTTTTTCACCTTGGAAGACTAAGAAGGAATGCCTTGTAACCAGTAAATACGATCACATGTTACGACCGGTCACAACACTCACCATACGAATGACTTAATCTACTGTTTCACACTGATATTCTGTGAAAGCCTGCCCCGGTCGAGTCTACACATTCGTGCTGCAGCAGCTTTAATATAGCTCTATGACTTAAAATCTTAAGTCGTATAACTGAAAAACATCGAAGGGAGTTAGTTAATTAGGGAGGAGGTATCTATAATGTTTATTGTATAATAGTATGTTACATAATACAATAAACATTAGATGCCATTATTAAAAACTAACTGTCCTCCAGACCGAATCAAAAATCACTCCGCCTGTGGCACCGCTCTCGAGCGGTCGTGTCCAGGTAGTCCGCGCATCCGTCCCCGTACGGTAGTGCTCTCTCGCTCTCGCGCCTCCGCTGTCCTGCTCGCACTTACAGCGTCGACGCCTTGGTGAGTCATTTTACGCTAACTCCAGTTATTACCTCCCTGTCTCCGGGCGGGGCGGTTTGACTGTTGGTCTTGCTTGTTATTGTTATTTTTATTGTTAATTCTTTTGTTAACTATTTCTAATTTTGTTTTCGTTATTTATTTGTATAACGTGTACGTGTATATACTGTTTCTAGGGAGTTACTTGCTCTTTTCAGAGCAAGGCCCTGCTCTTTTGAGAGCAGGGGCACTTACTCCTAGAATTAAGAACGTCCCGTTCTTCTCAGAACGGTGATCCAGCCCTTACTGTTTAGGTACATAACGTCTCTGTTCTTTTCAGAACAGCACCCACTAGCCCCTTCCGTATCAAATACGTTTCGTAAAACTACTGACCTCAACATGTCCACAATTACCCAAATTAAGTCCCTCGTCGCCGCCCTAAACCAAACTCTTGGTCTGGGCCTAAACCTCGATGAGACGGCCCTTGCCGCCATCGCCGCCCATGTTACTCCCCCTGCCCGTCAGGCACTCCAACCGCCGCCCGTACTTGCGGCCTACCTAGAGACAAAGAACTCTTTCGCCCCATTAGAAATGGAGTACGCATGCTCCGAGTCCTCTGCATCGGCCTCCCGGAAGAGGCCCGCCACCAATTCTGGCACCGGCTCATCGGAGTCCTGTGACTCCGACGGAACCGGGGATTTTTCGTTCACCACGGTGAACTCCAAGCGCAACGGTAAACGCGCCGCTAAAAACCGCACCCTCCCTGTCTCAGCGGCCCCTGCCGCTCCTTCAACCTCCGCAGCTCCCGCTGCCGCCTCTGCCCCCGCAGCCCCCGCCGCTGCCTCAGCCCCACTTATGTCACTAGACATTCCCGCTCCGACCAAGCCAGCCTCTCGCTGTGCTCCAGTCCTTGCCAAGAAGCAAGTCCCGCCCCCTGTCTTCCTAAGAGACAAGGCTAAATTCACAGAACTCTCCAAAACCTGCTACAACGCAGGCATAAAATATGACCACGCCATCAACCTCGGGGAGGCTATTAAGATCATCCCCCAATCAATCGACGACTTCCGGCGACTCACCAGGCTATTCACAGCCGAACGAGTTTCTTATCATACATACGCTCTTCCGGAAGAGCGCAAAGTCAGGGCCGTCATCCGCGGCGTCCCCTTCGAATTTTCAAACGAAGAAATCCTTGAGGACCTTAAGTCCCAAGGTTTCCCCGTAGAAGCCGTGCACAAAATGCACAGTAGAACAGGCCAGAGGTTCTCTCTTGCCCTAGTAATTTTAACCAACGTGCCGGAGGCGAAAGCCATCTTCCGGCAGGTACGCACAGTGTGCGGCCTGTCGAGAGTGAGGGTTGAGCCTCCACATAGGCGCGGGTTCCCGGCGCAGTGCCACCGCTGCCAGCTGTATGGTCATGCGGCGGCCAACTGCTCCGCCCCACCCAGGTGCGTTAAGTGCCTTGAACCCCACAACACTAAAGAGTGTCCTCGGCCCAAAGACGCCGAATCCCCACCCGCGTGTGTCCTGTGTAAACAAACGGGCCACCCGGCTAACTACAGAGGCTGCCCTTGCGCACCTCATCCTCGCCCCAGTAGGCAAGCTCCACCGCCGGTCAATGACCGCTCTTCCCGGCTCTTTACCAACGGATGCCCCGTCAGGGCCTTTCTCAGCCCACCCAGGGCTTCTCTCGACCCTCTCAGGGTCCTCCTAGGCCCCTTCAGGGCACTATTCGGCCCCCTCCGGGCTTCTCTCAGCCTATGCAGCCTCCAGTTTTTCCCTGGGGCCCCAAAAAGGCAGTACCACCGCGGACATCCTCCGCCCCTCAACCACAACAATCACAGCCCTCAATGGCTGATAACCTAAAAACGGTGTATTCCGCAATTAGGAACATCAACGTTGAGGAAATCGCTGTGTTAGCACGCAAATTGCGCGCTGCGAGGTCCCCTCAGGACCGTATCCTCGCTCTTGCAGAGCATCATAATCTTTTGTGCTCATTGTAAGTTAAGTTAACTTAATTAACTTAACTCACAATGACAGAGCAGTTTGCTCTACCAAAATCCCACGGTCGTATCAAACCTAAGGGTTTATCGCTTGTATCCTTTAACATTCGCGGTTTGCGAAATAACCTCCCAGAGCTTAAGCTCTTTCTTCAAAATCGTGAAACCGATTTCCTCCTCCTACAGGAAACTAATCTCAATACTAAGGACACTAAAGGCCTTTCCATCAAAAACTTCTCTCTTCTTCGTAATGATAGACCCGACCGCCGAGGCGGCGGTACGGCCATTTATTACAAGAAGACACTCCACTGTTCTCCCATTTCTACTCCGCAACTTTCCAACATGGAAGCCACGGTATGCAGGCTAGCTATGACTGGACATCAGTCCATCTTCATAGCCTCCTGTTACATCCCTTCTAAAACCCTTCCCCTCAAAAAAGATTTTGAGGCTATTTTATCTCTAGGCAATTCAGTCATTATGTTTGGAGATTTTAACTCCAAGCATACTGAATGGACATGCCGTACTACCACCCGTAGTGGCAAGTTACTGCTCGATATCACGCAGTCTCTTGATATTACCGTCCACAGTCCTCTCGGTGTTACTCACTTTCCCGATAACACCGACTATGCCCCCGATGTACTAGATTTTGCGTTACTCAAAGGAGTTTCTCTCAACCTTAGGGCAATCGAGACACTAGACGATCTAGGATCCGACCACCGACCGGTCTCTCTCATTCTTGGCCATCAGCCACCACTCCCAACACCCTCTACTAAAACCTTCACAAATTGGAAGGGCTTCAAGGAGTCCCTAGCGAAAGCTCTGGACTCACAGGACTCCCCCATCTCCCTATCTTCGGACTTAGACAGTCCTGAAAAAATCGACACCGCGGTCGATTCACTCTCCACCCTTATTAAAACCTCCCTTAAGGAGAATGAAAGGGTCGTCCCGGTTGCTAATAATAGTGGGCTTCCCCTGCATATTAGCAACCTATTAAAAGCCAAAAAAGCTGCTTTCCGGAGAGCAGCAAAATACCCCACGCCCGAATATAGGCGCACGGCCAATCGTCTTCAACGAGAACTCCGTTTCCGCCTCTCTGAATTTCGAGACCTCGAAAAGAGTAAGCTCATGGAGAATATCTCTCCCTCTCATACAGCGTACTATCAGATGGCAAGAGCCCTCCGCATAGACGCTATCTTCCACACTCCCCCTCTCTCCCGTCCCGACGGTACGGTAGCCTTCGAGGACGAGCAAAAGGCTGAGTGCTTTGCAGACAGCATTGCCGCTCAATGCTCTCCTAGCTCTCAACCCGTAAACCCCTCACACGTCCAGGCAGTGGAGGATGAGGTCCGCTGCCGGAACTCGCCCCCTACAGCCTCCGAACCTATCTCTGTGTCCAATGATGAGCTTTCATCCCTCATCAAAGGACTTAAGCCTAAAAAGGCTCCGGGCGCGGATGGCATCTCCAACCAAGCCCTAAAAAACTTTCCTGAGCAGGTGCTAACCCTTTTATCTATTATCTTCAACGCCTGCTTCAACTTTAGTTACTTTCCCACTACGTGGAAAGAGGCAACTGTGATTGGTATTCCCAAGCCAGGCAAGCCTCTCAACCTCCCCTCCAGTCATCGCCCCATTAGCCTCCTAAAGGCCATGGGCAAGCTCTTTGAAAGAGTCATCCAAAATCGCATGAGGCGCCATCTGTTTCCCACAGACGGTGACCCTCTTATCATTCCCCATCAATTCGGTTTCCGAGCGAAACACTCCTGCCCCCAACAAGTTCACCGTATTGTGGAATATATCCTCAGCGGTTTTTATCCCCGTCGTCATAAGACTATCGCGGTCTTTTTCGACATCGCCAAAGCCTTCGATAGAGTCTGGCATAC